TTATTTGACCTAGCTTCTTGAAATTATTACTTTATTAAAATACATAAAATTTTGTCAGTGGGAAACAAAATAGTTGTCTTTCTATCCTCCATATTTTTAATAAGGTCTAAAAATATATACATAATTGAAGCTATTATTGATTAACGCAAAACTTCCCTCATAATTCCTAACAATATTCTCCAAGGTGCAGAACTCAGCAATTACAATTTCTTCCCTTATCAGATCAAGAATATAATAAAGGTGCTTCCCTTCCTCTCCAGCCCACTTAACTCCTCAGATTTCAGAGAGCCGTATGAGGGTGTGCTTTAACGATGGAGTAAGGGACAGCTCAGACACATCTTTTTTTAAATGACATGATCCATCAATTCATTAGCAGAGTTTAAAATATAAAATAAAACTATTCGATGACTTTGATGGACTGCCTCCTTTCTATGAAATCCCTGACACTTTCACTTTGGTTGGTTTGTGTTCAAGTGGCTGTATTTTGGGGATTTATACAGCACCTTTTTGTGGAGTACGCAGTTTGGTTCTAAACAGTTATGGCCACTCTGGTTTTCTTTCTTTAATAAGCAAACTGAGACTTGTAATTAAGCTAAACGACTAATTCGCCCTATCCTTTCAATGTACCCTGGAAAAGAAGGGAATAGGTTTAGCACGCTCATCTCTCTACTGTGTTCTTCTAAAGTTACATTAAAAATAATACTGAAGTCACAGGGAAGAGTTACACATATTAGTTTTGTGCTGAGTTTGCATTTTAGAAAATATAATTAAAATCCATATATTTCTTTGTGTAAAACTGTTTTCACATAATCAGGGTTTTGACTTTTGAAAAAATGTATCTATAAAATAAATGTTCTTTATGACAACCTGGGCTGCAAACAACTATTGCAGATGGTGATAAAGATTTTATTTAAATTTGGCTTCCATAGAAAAAGATTTCATTATCTGCATTCTATATTTGTAGTGAAACTCCTGAACACTTAAATCTGTTCTTCCCTACTGTTTTTCTAGCTTACAAAAGCACCAGAACAAATATTAATATGTGAATAAAATGAAATATTGAATGCTTGTATAGCTCACATACCACTTTCACACAAACTATCTCACTTGACAAAAATCACTAATGTTTTATCATTAATGGAAAGTTTGACATCTTTTATAGTTTTTCTTGATACCTATTGTTCCACTATTGTCAGTTTCTTGCCCCTATCTTTTAGAACAATAAGAAACCAAAATACTGAACCTCAATTTTCCCAAATTATGAATGTCATATCCTAAATATATTCACAAAAGTAATCCAGGGATCCAAATTAACTGAGTATGAGAAAGAAGATTAGAAAAAGTGGCAATTATCTTTCAGAGGCTTTCTACCAAACAGGTACAAGCCACGTGGATTAGGTGAAAATGAAATCGGGATAGAAGACATGATTCGTTTTCAACCTGAAATACATTCATTCCCGATGCAATCTGAGGCTCCTTGAACTATTCTTAGACCAATCCAAAGTGTCGGGCAAACAGTAGCAATTTAAATGAATGAAAAATGTAAGAGCAGAAAGAAAGCATGCTAAAATAAATTTTCTAAGTACAAGGAAAAAACTATTGGAAATTTGAAAATGAGCTATTCAAATCTCTCCCTAGAGGTGAGCCTTGTTCCAAGTTGAGAAATAGTATCAAATGGTCACCAATGGACAAATTAGTCATTCAAAATATGTATACAGCAAGTATACAAATTATAGCGCATTGACTCGGATGCAAAAGGATTGTATGTTTGTCAAGTTTTTCGGAGAAGTGGGCAATATTTAGCCTTTAAGAACACTGAGTAATAAAACTGAAATAAGCACTGAGCGTTAAATACTTAATTTGAATTTTAAAAATCATGGTGGGTATAATTAAGTGTCTTCTTTAGTTGTATTCAAACTTCCTAAATTATTTGAACTTTAAAAAGGAAACCAGGGATGAGGTGACACCCGGTTGCTTTCATCACGAAATTTTAGGTCAGACACATCTTGCAAAGTCACAGTGTGCCTATTTACAAATTTATTCCCTCTTAATAAAAATTTTGGGGGACATAAAACAATCTTTATCACATTATTATATGTCTAGGGCATTTTTATGTATTATATTTCTTCATACAAAGATATGACTGCATATTGTGGCCCATTGAAGAAAGTAACCATAGCATCTTAATGGTAAATGATGCGAATTTCACGTAAATTCTCTGAACATCCCAGTGGGACATTTGAGCGGATAGTTTTACAAACGGGAAAGTTAAGAATCAGAAATAGTTCGGCTTAATCTAACTGGTCTAAAGACACTAGCTAATTTATAGGGGGAAAGTAAAATAAAGACAATCAAAATAGCTTCTTGGTTTGTGTAGATAAAACAACCAGCCACTTACCTGAATTTTTTGTTTTCTACTGACCATAAAATTTTAGGCTAGTAGCTTACAAATTTCTTTGACCTCAACCCACAGTATGAAATATATTTTATATCACAGTCGGCACGCACAAGTATGTATAATTAAAACAAATTTTCAGGAAACAAAACCCACCCTTACTAAATATTATGCCTTCTAGTATATTCTCTTATATTCTTTTCTATTTTCTTCCTTAACAACACAAAGTTCTAGACTCATTAAACTCATTTCATGATACTCTAGGTCATGACAAGCAGTTTGAAAACACTGCTTTCGGCCCCTAAAACTTTTTACAACTACTGAAGAAAGTTAAATGTTCTTTAAACAGTCTAATCAATTCTTTTCTTTTTTACCCAGAGTTATTCAAACAGGAAAAGTGACAGGGAAAAAATATTAAATAACATATGACCATTTGAAACCACACTTGCATAGACCCTTCACTTCCTCCCTGGGTAATAAGAGGCAGAATTCAAACAAAAAAGGAAGGATGCTACGGGAAGTAAACTACAAAGGAAAAATCATTCTAAAACTGAATTTCCACACAGAATCCCATTTGCGTGAGTTTTTTACTTTATTTTTAAAAGTTCTGTGTCATTTCTTTTATTATTCTAGAAGTATTTGAATATCATCAAATGCAAAAAGTTTAAGATGGGGCATATTATAGTTATATTATCTGCTATGGGATGATGAACAATTTTGAATAAAATGTGATCCCCTCTTCATTTGACCGTGTTCACTTCGTAATTATTAGAAAGGCAGTAAATAATCTACCAAGGAGCAGTCTCATTAGTGCCCATTGAATTTCAGTGGCATTAATTTGCAATAAAAGAACTGAAAATTAAATGGAAAAGAAAATAGTTTCCGGAGTCCACCATAAGGTTATGGAATTCATCTCACACCAGTGCCTTTCTTCACATGAAGGAGTTTAAAATGTTGTGTGAATTAGACTTAATCGTTATATTTTGTTCTAACACTTTTTAAAAGGGGGGGCAGAATAAATTCTTTTTCTCTTTCCATTTTAACCCTGAATTAAAACAAGTGAAATTAATTTGAAATATGCCAACTTTTTAAAGTTTTGTTCATCGCTTGTCTTTTAAGTAATAACTCAGGCTGGACCTGCTTAGCTGTGGGATGCTTTTAAGTCCTTTGAGGAGGCTGAGGGATCTAAGTATGTTCAGATACCCCAAGAGTCTGCCCTTCAGTATCCTCTGAGGCCAATCTGCACCTTCCTCCTGTTTCTTCTGCTATAAATATCCCTGGAAATAGAATACTAAATAGAAAACGGTCCACAGCTGGCAATGCAGAAGGATCTGGGAGAGGGCAGGAGGCAAGTCCAGACACCAACGTACCGTCAGGCAGTGCCTAACTCAGCGCCCAGCCACGTGTGCGCCCTGGGGCCTCCCAAACACACTTCAGGGTATCTGGTCCAGCGGGCGCCTAGGGCACAGGTATTCAGAAATACACACCCTTCCCAGGTCCATCAACAAGAAAAGGGAGAAAGGAGAGGAGCAAGAGGAGGAAAATATAACGTCTACTAGAAAAAAAAAAATAAGGACACAAGTCACAGGGAAGTCACAGAAGTGTCCCCTGTGTCCTGGACTGCCAACGCTTCTTCCAGAGCGACTGAAAGGTGAAGAACCGAGCTGACCCGGCACCCGCACCAGGGGCATTCTCTGCCCGGTAGGCCAGAAAGGGAACTTAGCTGGCAGGAGAGTATTCCAAAACCTTCGTGCTTCGATATGGCATGTTTTAAACTCACAGGACACCTATCAATTCCCGGCTGTCAGAAGTCATATGCCAGCAGTTTGCTTCAACACGGACCCAGCCAGATAACTGGGAAATCAGAAACTTGTTAAGACCCATTCAACCCCTGTATTGCTCTCCTGAGGAGCGCAGCTCAGTCCTAAAGCCCTGGAGTGTGCGATGGGAGGAGGGAAAGCAGGTGCTACAAATCTCTTGCCCCAAAACTCATCATCATCATCATCATCACCACCATAGTGGGCATGTTTCCAATCCGAAATTCTAGATGAAAGGTAATTTTGCAAGCACATTAAAAGAAAATTTTAAAATACTAACAACAAATGAAACTCTGACGTCCGCGAACCCCAAACACCTCTAGCCCGAAATGCCACAGCTGGACGTTTACGAGGGACTCAAAGAGCCCCGTGTTTATTTGCTTTGGGGTGTTTCCCCCACAAATAACTGCTGCTCTGTACGGCTTCCCAACATCTGCTTAGTCAGGAAGCGCACAGGGTTTCGGATCTGCCTGTCACGCAGACGGCAGCGGGTGAAGAAGAGAATCTTTTTAAGCTGCCCGGGGAGAGAACTTGACGCTCGGAAGGCGAGATCCGCAAATCGCTCCGGGGCCGGCCGCGCGCGGGCACTGGGGTGGCGCGTCCCGCGGCTCCTGCGCC